ACTGCCTTTTATTGCAAAGATTCTAGAAAGAATTGTCTCCAAACAGCTGCTCACTGTACTGGAAAATAACAAAATATTTGAAAAGTTTCAGTCTGGTTTCAGGAAGTACCACAGCACTGAGACTGCCCTGTTTAAAGTCACCAATGACCTTTTAATGTCTGCTGATGAAGGCATGTGCTCAGTCCTGGTACTCCTGGACCTTAGCGCTGCTTTTGACACCATTGATCACAACATCATGTTAGACAGACTGAGGCACTGGGTGGGGATCTCTGGTACTGCCCTAGAATGGTTTTCATCCTACCTGTCAAATAGGAAGTTTTGTGTGTCTGTAAACAACTATGTCTCCTCGTTCTGTCCAGTTAAATATGGTGTGCCTCAGGGGTCATTTTGTTTTCCTTGTATCTGCTTCCCCTTGGACATATTATCCATAAACATGGCATTTCTTTTCATATTTATGCTGATGACACACAAATATACTTGCCCGTCAGATCCACAGACCCTGGAATGCTGAGTTCACTTAACAACTGCCTTTGTGAAGTTAAAAAATGGATGTCAAATAATTTCCTCCAGCTGAACTCAGACAAAACAGAAATCCTGGTCATCGGGTCTCAGCAGATGGCAAAACAAATACTGCCATCTGCTGGTTCCCTAGTAAATCACATTAAGCCTGTGGCAAAGAACCTTGGTGTTTGGTTTGATAGTAATTTAAATTTCGAGCAGCACACCACAAAGCTTGTTCAATCATGTTTTTATCAACTTAGAAATATAGCTAAAATTCGATCTATGTTAACTTTTAAGGACACAGAGACCATTTTACACGCCTTCATCTCATCACGCCTGGATTATTGCAACAGCCTTTTCACCTGTTTAACCCAAAAATCTACTGATCGACTCCAGACTGTCCAGAACTCAGCTGCCAGGCTTTTAACCAGAACAAAGAAATATGACCACATTACTCCTATTTTAGCTTCATTACACTGGCTCCCAGTATGTTTTAGAATTGACTTTAAAATTCTATTGATCACTTTTAAAGCTCTTCATGGCCTCTCGCCTTGTTATATTTCTGACCTTTTAGTCCCATACGCACCAGCACGTACCTTGAGATCCTCGGGCAGAGGTCTGCTGTCTGTTCCAGAGTCTCGACTGAAAACTAAAGGGGACAGAGCGTTTGCTGTCAGGGCCCCGAGGCTCTGGAACAGCCTGCCCGAGGAAATCAGGTCGGCTGAGTCAGTGAACTCTTTTAAGTCCCTTCTTAAAACATACTTACATACCCGATCTTATTTGACTTTATTTTATCCCTTTTATTTTATTCTATTTGACTAATTTTATATTAATTTTTCATGCTCTTATCTTGTTTTTTTTGTATTATTCTTTACACTTGTTAAAGCACTTTGTAACTTGTTTTTGAAAAGTGCTCTACAAATAAGGATTAATATCACCAATCCATTGCACACTTCACACAATGGTGTAAGGACAGTCCTCTTCTCCTCAGCTCAGTAGAAATGTTTGACAGCTTCAGGTACCTCGGCATCACTATGGACAATAAACTGAGTTTTTAAACTTGAGCTATTTCTCTCCTGTACCGTAGTATCATTGAACCCGTCCTCTTGTACAGTGCTACCTGCTACTTTACCATGCTCTCTCTCACCAATAAGAATAAGCTTCTTAAAATTACTAACAACTACTCCATAATAATCGGTCTTCCCACTCCCACCCTGCCAGTCCTCATTAATACCACCACTGCTCGTAGAGCAACTACCATAGTACAAAATCCCAGCCACCCTCTCAACTCATGCTTCACGCTTCTCCCATCTGGCTGTAGATACAGACAGCTGCTCTCCAAAAAGGCACGCTTCGGAAAAAGTTATATAAGCGGGTTAAACTCACAGACAAGTTAATGATGTAACTTTTGTGACGTGTGTAAATATGTGTATATTGTCTATATGTCTATATGTGTGTAGTTTGTGTGTAGACTGAAAGCAAATTTCCTTCACTGAGGACAATAAAGAATGAACCTGAATCTGACACCAGACCAACAATCCAGACAAGCTGAAGGCCGCTATCAAAGCAACCTGGGCTTCCATAACACCTCAACAGTACCACAGGCTGATTTCTATGGAGGGATTATTGGGTCAGAATTAAGACTAAAAGTCTAAAACTAAAACTCAAAATCAAAAATGCATTTAGTATTTAGAATTGGGCAAGTGTATGCAAATAAGGGGCATGGCCCAAAGACTGGAGGCTGGGCTTGAAATGGCTGGTGCACAGAGGCACTTTATGGTCAGCAGGGGGAGCTCTGAGTGCTAAAGTGCACACTGCAATGAAACAAAACAGAGAGAGTGAGCAGGGCTGGAGGGATGACTATACTTGTCTTATAAAGTAATAACTTCAACTTGATGAAAGCATTAACATTTCTGTTTTCTCACACACAAAGTCACCAGTGAAAGGAGCACTATCGATCTGGGTATCATTGGATAATCCATAATTAATTTGTAATAAAAAAAAAAAATCATAAATGGGTTTGTTTCAAAACGAAATAACCTAAGTATAAATCTATAAGTATATATATATCTCTATATAAATTAATATATCTTAATTAATTTCTGCCAACCTTGTCAAGTCCCCCTGATCGATACCCCTGCCCTCACTCTCCTTCCTCTTGCCAGGGAATAAAAATAAATAAATAAATAATGATGATAATAATGAAAATGGTAAAAAAAAAAAAAAAAGAGGAGAAAGGGATGGAGGAGGGAGGAGAAAGGAGGCAGGAAGAGACATTTTTTTAATAAAATTTTATTATTATTTTTAATAGAATTATAAATATATTTCTTCTTCATTTAGTTATTTTCTTTTCTTGCTGGTGTTTTTCTTTTTTGTCTCATAGCAGCATATTTAAGCAGCTGTAGTTATTGACTTGTGTTTGTGCAGCTCTCATTGCATGAATCCACATACTGATTTCCATCCTGATGAAATGAAGCTGAGCGAGCATACTTCACTGAATGCTGAGCTTTTCCTTTAACTCTATATGAACCAGTCTGCTGGCTGCTGTTCTGTGTATTCACATTTTCATCTCACCTACAGTAAACTGGTAAAATGACTCCAGAGGGAGTTCACTGAGATGTTTCTGTGCTGATGGAAAGTTCTTCTTTTTTCTGTCCAATCACAGGACTACAGGCTGAAGGACAACACATCTCAACAGGTAAAGAGAGAAAGAAAAGAGAAAGAATCACAGAAGCAGAATCAGCAGTCAAGTTTTAGTTTAGTCTCTTGAATTCTCTTCTTTACTGATGACTCTCTGGTTTCTGTTCAGAGGCTGATGATGTCAGGTTGGTGGGAGGAGCCAGTCGCTGTGCAGGAACACTGGAGCTGAAACATCAGGGAGACTGGAGACCAGTGATGGACTCTTTCTTTGTCTGGACCCTGAAGACAGCAGCTGTTATCTGTAGAGAGCTGGACTGTGGCTCTGCTGTTTCTGTAGGACAGAGAAATGAGTCCGCAGACAGATCTGTGTGGGAGATCAGCTCTGACTGTGTTCAGTCTGGCTACATCATTTTCCTCTTCCTCCATCCTGAATCTCACCTGCTCAGGTAAGCCCATCAGTGACATCATCTATGGCAGTAATGTACCCAGGTCCACACACTCACAAGCTAGAATAGCACCAACTGATAGTGGCCTTCAGTTCTTCTGCATTGTTGGATCTGGCGTATCGCATCTTCCTCTTCACAATACCCCATAGATCTTCTATAGGGTTAAGGTCAGGCGAGTTTGCTGGCCAATTAAGAACAGGGATACCATGGTCCTTATACCAGGTACTGGTAGCTTTGGCACTGTGTGCAGGTGCCAAGTCCTGTTGGAAAATGATATATGAATCTCCATAAAGTTGGACTCCCCCACATTTTTGAATGGGTTTTGTTTCACAATCCTCTCCATGGAGCGGTTATCCCTATTGCTTGTACAGTTTTTTCTACCACATCTTTTCCTTCCCTTCGCCTCTCTATTAATGTGCTTGGACACAGAGCTCTGTGAACAGCCAGCCTCTTTAGCGATGACCTTTTGTGTCTTGCCGTGTCAATGGTCGTCTTTTGGACGGCTGTCAAGTCAGCAGTCTTCCTCATGATTGTGTAGCCTACAGAACTAGACTGAGAGACCATTTAAAGGCCTTTGCAGGTGTTTTGAGTTAATTAGCTGATTAGAGTGTGGCACCAGGTGTCTTCAATATTGAACCTTTTCACAATATTCTAATTTTCTGAGATACTGATTTGGGGGTTTTCATTAGTTGTCAGTTATAATCATGAAAATTAAAAGGAATGAACACTTGAAATATATCAGTCTGTGTGGAATGAATGTATACATTATACAAGTTTCACTTTTTGAATGGAATTACTGAAATAAATCAACTTTTTGATGATATTCTAATTATATGACCAGCACCTTTTATATATGAAACATGAACTTGTTTGTGTGGAGAGCAAAATACCTGAGTAGGTAGGATCAGAGCAGAGAGAGTATTAAATGGAAATGTGCTGGTGAACTTGCTGCAGTCTGTGCTGGTAGAAAGATGTGTTCTGTTGTTAATGATGAACTGATGTTGGAGTTGTGCTGAGTCCACCTTGAATCACTGAATTGTTGTTTCATGACATGTTTTTCTTTTGTGAATATATTCTCTCTTATGGTTTTCTGTTCTGACATTAGTGTCCAGGCTTTACTTGCAATTAGCTTGTTGCTTTCTCTCTGATGATGTGTTTGATTTTGACTGAAGGTCCCAATTTCAGTAAACTCTTACTGGGTCAGTCGTCCCAGCCCAGGACCAGGCTGGCCGTCGCTGACTTGGCTAAATGCTTAATATTTATAGTTACTCATGTTTCTATTAAAACTATAGTGAACTTGCAACAGCAATAAAACCCTGTCCTATGCACCGTCCTATAGTCTATTTAAAAAGATCTGAGTCACCCACCTCAAAACAAATAGTCCGATGGCCAAATTCGCCGCTGCCTCTGCTGCTGGACTCATTATGTAAACTCACCCACTGTTCAAACATGCTGCTGCAGTGAACCTCCCCCTCTTGTGCACAGACACACTGTGGCACGCAGGTGGACAGCAGAGAGACGGTCTACCTGGACATGGATCACCTGGTACTGCTGCTGCTGCTGTGGAGCTCAGGTAGGACTCTGCTCAAAGTGCTGACGCTGAAGTCAGCTTCCGATTCTGCAGTAAAGGGAAAAGTTAAGGGAAACTGAGCTTTCGTTGCTGAGTGACCGATCCTCAGTGTTTTGCACCTTTTTTGAAATGTAGGCTAACCCACATTAGACAAGGTCCAGATCAAAATCCACTGTGGCTAGAGCTGCCAAATCTGGGCTAGATTTCCCCAGAGAGGGTAAATATTCTTTAAAACACAGTTTCATCTTTGTGAAAATGAAAAATGGGCGTTCCAGGAAAACATTCCTCTTTCCATACCTGGAGTGATGAGGCATTATTCCAAGGCATGAATGCTGACCTTTGCTTATGTATTTGTTGTAGTTTATTACAGAGTGAAACCAGATCAAACCAAACTGCACCTAGAGCTGTAAAATGAGCAGAATCTGTTGCATTTAGGTGGTAGTATTGGGTATTTGGATGTAACTTCCAGTGGAGGTGCAGCAATTATGTTGACGCCTGAATTTGATGTCTGTACTCATTACATAGTAAATACATAATATAGACAGTATATACATACGTCATATATAAATATAATCAGAGGGTATTCAGATCCTCCGTTACTACTCCATGTGACCTCGTTACATTGTTAGTAGCTTGAAAAGAAAGAAAAGCATGCAGCGCACTTGAGTGGAGCAGCATTTAAAAAACAAATGTAAAACTGATAAAGCCGACTCGGCAAGAATCAACTTCTCACAGCTGATGCGACACCGGCATACGCAGTGGTAGTGATCAAGTCACCCCAGCGCAGAGTATTTATGTGCAGCCTACAACTTTGATGAGAGGATGAAGAGGGACTGTCCGTCTGGGCATGAGAAGAGAGAAACACTCACTGAGAGTGAACAGAGGGACTAGCAGTCAGGTGAACACATGTTGTTGCAAGTGGAAATGCATTCATATGCACATGCACTAAATTAAACTTGCGCATTTCAGCAAGAAACATGTGTGGGGCCAGTCCAGACAGAGATGTGATGGCACTCCTCACAAGCGCACATCATTTGAAAACAAGACAGGGATTATCTGTCTGTAAGTGAAGGTTTAGTTAGAACTCTGGACTAATGCAAGATGGAAAGCTTTGAATTTACAATGACTGCTGACTTTTAAAATGTTTATTAGCGGGGCAGACCCCTTAGGAAAGCAAAATCCAAGATGAGATCTCATAGTTGGTTCCTTCTTTTCTCCTAGACACAAATGAGCTGCCCTTAATACCAAGGTCAGACCAAATGCTTTTTCTTCTACTTCTCAAATTCATCTCAGGAGAAACAACCATCTAAAATCTCATTTATGTCTGACTGATCAAAACAAGAGATCTATAACTGATCTTAAATAAGTCTAATTTAAGTCTCCTAAACAGGGGCGTTTCAAGGCTCTTGAAACATTGGGGGCTTAGCCCAGCCCAGAAATCTTTCATGTTTTCACCTGTCCCCCCCTGAGGCTACCCCCTTTAGACCGTCTGACAGACACAGAGCCCGTCTGGGACTGTAGCACACTCAATGAGACGAGCACACTGATCTTCATCAGAGGAAGAAAACGGAAACTGAAAACACTTGTGATCAGACAGCAATATCACCACAGTTCCACACAAATGTTCACTTCTGCACTTCTGATAAAGTGCAGCTCACAGCCGCTTTAGAGGGAATAAAACAGTGTCACAGCGAGGGGGACAGAGACAGCAGGACACAGAGCGTCAGGGGTCATAATATTCTCTCACTACTGTGCGGCGACTGATAACCGTTTGTGTTAATACACTGACTTGAAACTGACCGAGAACATTTATATTTTAATACACTGATTACTATTTTGCAATTCAGAAGTCGCGGAGAAGTCCTGAAGCTGTGAGCAATGCGCTCTCTCACTCTCGTGCTCTTTCTAAATGCAGGCAGTCTGAGTAACGGTGGTGGTGGGGGGGTCATATACATACGTGAACTTCAAACAAAATATATCAGTTATTGCGAGTAGCCTCTGCTCTTTGAAGAGCTGCGAGACAGGCTTTGTCATGAAGAAAATTGCATATTAACATGGAAAATATTTTTGTTGCTGTTGTTGAGTTACATTCGGGGCTACAGTCAAAACATCCGGGGATAAAGTCCCTGAAAAATGACCTGGCAACGCCGTTGCTCCTGAACATTGGACCATGTGATCAGAGAAAGAGCTCAAAGAAATCTCAGCTATGAATCCTGGGATCTCATGATTCTTCTCAAATATGTCAAATTTTTCTCATAGTGGCCTCAGGCGCAAAACACTCATCTCTGTCTTACTCTGATCAAAAGATTCTCATCTACAATATCATGAATCAGTGTAATTTCAGTCTCCAGAATGTGGATCAGAAAAAAACCTCCAAGATATTTCTCAGTTTTGTCTTAGTGACCCAACTTATTTTACTTATGTCAAATGTAGAGGTGGAGTATTTTCTTTTTATGGAGGTTTGTACTTTTACTCCCCTTAATTTCAAATACTTATTGTATTTATTGTTAATTATCTTTTATAAGTTACAATGAAAAAAAACAAAACAAAACATTTTGACATTGAAAATATTGCACTTTCAAATGTAATGTTTTCCAGTTTGTTAAGGTAGTCACATCCAGCATAACTGGATAACACCCAATACTTTGACATGATGTTAAGAGATTAATTCATTAAGGGCCGAATGCACACAAGAACTGAGAAGTACATTCACTATGGAATACTTTTATACCTTTTACTTACGTAGAATTTTGAGGACATTACTTGTAGATATGGTATTTCTCCACTTTAAAGGAAAATTGGTCTTGTGTTCTCTGTTTAGTCTTGTGTATTGCCTTGTTCATCTACTGGTTCTGTTTAGCTCTGCATCTCAGCCCTGTGTCCTTGTTGTGCCTCAGTTCATGTCTTAGTGTTTACTTTTGGTCTGTGTCCTTGGTTGTTCTGGGTTAACCCTTTATAGGGCACTCATTGAAATATTTGGAAATTCTAAACTTTAACTTCAATTTTTTTTCATCTTTGCATTGCAAATCAGTCAGTGAAGTTACCATATATGAGCACTTGCCTGTCTAGGGTAAAATAAATTACAGAGAGTGAATTTTAAAAAATATGAGAAAAACACACAAACTGCAAGGAACATTTATTTAGAGACATCTCTTTCTTGAGGTACTGGCATGACTGTCATACAAGAAAAACACACATTCAACAAATACACATACACATAACATTCAGTTCAGAACCGTTTCTGGAACTGATAACAAGACCACTTTTTACAACAGTAACAGTCAAAACATTGGCAAATAAGAAGTAAATAAATAATAAAATTGGCAAAGAAATTGTAAATAATTAATAATATGTGAAACAAACTTTATAATTGATCAAAGAAAAATAAATAATAAATAAATACTTGATGAATACAAAATAATTCTAAACAACAAATAATATTTCAGCAGCCATGAGGATCATGGTTAAAAATAAAACACAATTTGTTAAAAAGTGCATGTATAAAAACTATAAGAACATGTTTTTCTCCTGAGGAACAAATACTGACCACCTTCATAGACCATTTAGGAACATTGCATGATGAACTCATTTCTTCTCGTGTCAGTCCAGTTCAGGCCATTTCAGTCACTTAGGCAGCTGCTTCATGGTACTTGACACAGCAGTTACGCTCAGCATTGAGGCACAGATGGAGCTGGCAGACCCTGCAGAGAAGGTTTGACCTCACGATGTTACCCTTCCTGCTGCATTGCTTGCAGGTCTGGCGGCTTTTGCTGTAGACAGGGGCATGGAACAGGGACTTTGATTTTATGTACTGCCTCAGGTTGCCAGCAGTCTTGCCTTTGTAGGCAACCATCACCTCATCAACAGACTGCTTGGGAGTCTCTGGCTCTTTTCTGAAGGCAGTAACCAGATAGTTGAACAATGGCCAGACTTTGAAGAAGCGATCATTGTTACCAGGGATCTGAGCATTGTTGATGTTATTGAAGTGGACAACCCTCTTCAATAACGTGAAGCACTTGGATGACATCAGGTTTGCAACTTGTGAGACCCTGGTCTCTATTGCCCAGTAGTCATCAACGGAGGGCAGCTCAGCAATCCCCATGTAGATGAGTATAGCCACAAAGTTCATAATTTCATCCTCAGTGGTGGCAAAGGTGGTGTTGATGGTTATCTGGGTTGCATATAAGTTGGTCTGATATGTTATGTGCGAGATTACTTTGTGACTGAAGTACCTGCTGAAATAATCAAATGGACTTTGGATGAAGTCAGGGGGAATATGCTGGTATTCAGGCAGGGGTGGGTTGTCCAGGTCAACTTTCTTCCAGAGGGTTCGCTGGGGTTCTGGCTTCCTTTTTTTGGCTGGAGATCCTCATTTTCATCAAGGTCCTCATCTACAAGCACCTCCACTGCAGGCCGCACGCACTTCCTTTTGGCAGAAGGGCCATCGATGTCCAGGTTGTGGGTGGGTGGAAGGAAGTCGTGATCTGCCTCATCATTGTCTTCTTCCTCTGAGCTATCATCATCGCTGATGGCAGGGTTTACGGGAACAACAACGGGATCCGTCTTCCCATAAAATAGCCGAGCAGACAGCTGCAAAAGGAATATGCTTTTCAGTCAATATTAAACCAACTCTGATTTATTTGTTGAGGAAAACAGTAACAGTGTAATGTAGATCTAATAGGAAAAGAGTATTGACATAGAAAATATAAAAACACAATAAAAACAGAAAATACAATTATAATTATTGTTAGTACCACTTATATTTGCTCATAATTGTGTTTTATTACAAACCAATATTCAGTAATTAAAATCAATTCACACAGTACTGGGCCTCACACTAACAATAAGCACCTGTGTATCCCATTTAACTATAATAAAAAAACATACATTCATAAGGCATATGTCTAAAAATGGACATTTGTGCCACTCATGCTAGTCTTAGGTGAACGGGGCATATGATCAAATATGGTGCATTTAGTTTTAAGCCAAACATTAAGCTAATT